GTTTGAAATACGTTATCATTTGCGCTTTAAACTATTATATATATATAAAACATATGTGCATAGATTATTAAAACTAATTAATTGGAGTTTTCGATAGTGTGTCCAAAACAAAACCATAACCTATTTATTTTTTAATGAATGTATTGATGAAAGAGTAAAAAAAAAAAAAAATGTTAATCATCAATACATTTATGATAGTTTTATTGATAGTTATTTAAACATCATTAAAATTAATTTAATCTAAAGTGCACTATATTTATCTGAAAAATTAGAAAATTATTTCACTGTAATCGATTTGAACTTATAAGTTAAGGGGATCAGTACATTTTCCCGACACCATTTGCCCGACATTACGTTTGTCCGACACTACACTTGCCCGGCAACCTCAAATTATATTATAAATAAATATGTGTAAAAAATTATTAAAAATTTCAATAAAATATTATATTATACCTATTGTGTTATTTACAAATTAATGTTAAATTTTAAAATTATGCAATTAATAATTGTGTCAAAAATTAATAATAACACAAACATTATACTACTCACAATTTAATGTTATGAGCGATTAATATGAATCTATTGAGAATAGCAGTAAAATACGATTAAGAACGTTATTTTTGGTAACACAATTGAGAACTTAATAATATAATATACTATATTATACTACTATACTATACTTAATACTTAGTACCTTTTCACATAGAACGATCGTATCCATGATAAAATATTCGTCTGATTTAGATTTTTTTTTAATTACTGTATATTCGTATTGTATATTAATAAATAATAGTAATAAAATAATGAAATAGTAATAAAATATTTTATATCAGTATTACTTTACAGTAAAAATATGTAAATTATATTGTTGGGCCTCAGGTAAACGTAGTGTCGGGAAAATGTAGTTTCGGGTAAATGGAGTATCGGGCAAATGGAGTCCGGTAATTGAAGTGTCAGGAAAATATATCAGACCCAAATTTAAGGTATTGAAAGATGTATAAAATATTATAACTTACTTATTTATTAAAATTAATTTTTCCTAATCTTATTATTTATATGCGTTTTAACATACATCGTCTTACAATTATAAAAATCAAAGAAATATAAATTATCAAATCAAATATTATTTAATAATAATTTTTAAAAATATTCATAAATAAAATTGTATTAAATATATGGTATTTTTGACAGATCAATGATTAAAAGATTAAATAGAAATGAAAATAAAAATATGAAAACACTTTTTAATGGGTTACATATGCTCACCTAGAGTACGTTTTTCAATCGTATAATAGTTAGTAGTTGTTAGTTGGTTCCACTTAGAGAATAACAAGTATATGGTGCCAATTTGGCACCTTTATAACAGAATAATGTGTGCTATGAAAACATCTGGAAAGCTCATCAATTCATTTGTTAAATCTTTGATCGAGGTTCAGTATACTTCAGTTAATGTGTATTTCGAAATATAATTTATAAAATTATAATTATTACAGGTTATAATCCACTGATATTCAAAAAGAAATTGAATTATATGAGTCAAAAAGAGAAAGACAATAAATGCATAACATATTGATATATTGTGGTATTTTTAGGCACAGTGATGTAAAGAGTATCTATAATCTATAAGGAGAGTGACATTTCATATCCCAATCAGGCAAGGATAATATGACTGATAGCAAGAATGAAATTGGATTTAGGAAAGAAGTGATAATAATTAAACTATAGTAAATAATACCGATAAAATGTTTATTAATATATTTTTCATACTTAAATGTTTGTAAAATTAAATATAATTATTTATGACAATTAATTATTTTATTTATTTATTAAGTAAACAGTCAAATGTTCTTAAAACTTATAATAACAGTCGTTGAATTGTATATTATATTCTAAACAACAACAAATACAGAAATAAATTATGTAAATTAGTCTCTTATTTTTATCAGTCTAAGATACAAATAAATCTCCTGAGTTATAATAATCGAATTATGTATTTGACGTTGGTGTGTTTTATTGAAAATTTAAGTAGTTATTATTTAAAATATATTATCAAAATATGTGACACTTAAAATGATTTAATCTTTATTTTATTCAACAAGAAATAGTTATTACAATAAAGAAAATAATGAAATTATATTTAAAAAAAAAAAAACACCAACGAAACGTAACAATTTTAATCAATAATATATGAGGTAAAATGTTATGAGGTAATTTTATATTGTTACGCAGAAGTTGGCGAAGGAGTTCCTTCAGACGCGCTCTGAGCTATTATGTCGGTTAGATTGTAGTAAGCACCGCCGATTAATGCGAAGATGCCCAGTATAAAGAGGATCGTATTCTTGATGAGTTTCATGATCCGGAAAAAGCGACGGTAGGTTCTAACCTGTGCACGAGTAATGTTTTCGTCTATGGCTATTGTTATTTTGTTGTCATTTTCTGGATCTGGTTCTTCGTATTCTTCGTAATGGTCCTCTGGGTACCAGTTCCAAACCATATCCATAGACGCAGGTAAAAGAACGCCTAGAAAGGAAAACCCTACAGAGCCAACGAGCGAGATTAAGGGACCGATGTCTGGCACGATTGAAGCTATAATAACTAAACACACGAAAAACGATAAGATTTAAATTGAATGCACATAATAATAAAATAATATAGCGTATTGGTTTATTTTTTAATGCTTACTGGTCCCCAATATCAAAAGTATTCGCATCACTGGATAAAACCGTTCCGCCTGTATCGAGTCTATCTTCCCTATTCGGATCACAAGCTTTTTAAAAATGCCTTTCCACACTAGGTCTGCCGTCACATTTAGCTGAAGACCGTACGTCAAAAGTATCCCGACCCCAATAACGGCTTTTACACCTTCTGCGATTCTGTAATTAAAAAAGCAACATAAAATATATTTATAAATCACATGTCTCGCTTTCATATAAACTGATAAACAATCCAGACTGTACTGTAATAATAAAATAAAATACAAATATGATATACTAACGGTTCTCCCACTGGTAGGTTTAGCGAGATACTGCCCTGACTTGTGTCTCCAAAACGTACATATCCGCATAGACCAAAAATACCGTTGAGCAAGACAATGAGAATCATTGTCTTATGTAAGGTAAATGCCGGATACGTTGCTAATTCCAATGGTTGAGCCATTTGGTTTTCAACGTGTAATAACTATTTATTATTTGAATAAAATAAACGTAGCCGCATGCATTTCATGTCATGAAACAAACAATACATTTTTAAATAACAATATTATACATTAGCGGAGTAGAGCATCTACATTTATAAAATAGTATTAAGTAATATCAATAAAATTAAATCCAAACCACAGAAAGTATCAAACACGTTAAAAAAACGGTATATTCATGTTTCCACAGGAAATATATTGATATAAAATTTTAATATATAAGAAAACATTATGAAATAATAATTTTAAAAAAACTGACAACTAGCATGCAAGCAATAAAAATGTTTAATTAAATTAAAGGAATTTATAAAAGGAAGAAGACATGTGAATACACGGTCTTTTATGGTGATCGTATGACTCGACCATTAGGTAAAACATATATGTTATTTCAATAATTACATTAATAATTAAGGTAATACTTGAAATAACGCAACAAACTTAAATTATTTAAGTTGTTTGTCTGTTTCTATACGTACGATTGATCAGCGAATACAACAATATATTTTTTCATACACACACTCACACACACACACACACACAACACCCCAAAAACATGTGTAATATTATATATACACTTATTATACATTTTGTATAGGATATTTATGTTGTATATATTATAATACGTAAGCATATTGTAATTGAATGCGCCTATACAAGATTTTGGTGCTTGTTGTCGATCGATATCTAAAAACTGACGATGCACTCAGGTTAATGGTCATAGACTGACAGTTTTTATAAACATATTTATGTCCATACACTTAATAGGAATAACAACTACAACAGAAATTTATGGACCCCTTCGATGCTTAAAATAAAAGAAAAAAAAGTTAAAACGAACACACAAGATTCAATATGATAATAAGTGAACTAATCCAAAAGGTATCCATAGGTTAATAAATGAATGTATATTTATATATTTCTTATTTTGAAATACAAAACAAGTAATCTGAGACACGTCTCACGCCTCACGTAGATGAACACATCAATGAATGCGCAGCACCGCAGCAGATACATATTATTCCATTGAAAATATAATATAATATAAAATCAGTGTATTGTACGAGGTATATTATATTTTATTTTTGACAAGAAAGCTAACCCACATTTTTACCGACCAAATATATGTATAAATGAATTGCGTACATTGGACGTTTCAAAAATTACGAAAATATATATACCATAATTATACATGTCTTGAAAATATTGAATTAGTTTGATTGATAAAAAAAAAAAAAAATATGACGATGTTTTTATTTCTACAAATAAAATTATGCTCATTATTTTAGAAATCAAAAATTCTGTAAAGATTAGATAAATCTGCCGACTTTAATAATTAAATAATCAAAGTATCAAATAATTGTTTTCTACATTAAAAGTACTCTTGGTAATACTAGAGCTTAATATTTTAACAAAACTATATAATTAGACAAAAAAAATTTTTTTTCTATGAAATGTATCTACAATAAGTACATGGTGGCCGTTTTTTAACATAGCATTATTGCTCTAACTAAACAATATAAGATTAAATAATGAATTTGCATTCGAATCATAAAAAATAAAAAAAATCGAATATAAAAATCATGAATTAATTTTTTATAAAAGAACAATTTTAATATGGTGTCTTTCCAAATGTTGTTGCATACACTGTTCTTTTGTCCACTCAAATATTTATATATATTTATACGTACTATTAACTTAAGTAATAGATAGTTCTAACTTAAATAACTCCTTACTCGACATGCCATTAACATCGATATAAATCGCGAACCGTTAATGTCTTAAAACAATAGCTAATCCCAATAAAAATAATTAATAACTGGCTGTACTTACCATACCAATACCTTCCAATGAGCATAGGGCACTTCCTGAGAATAAAGACCATCGTTCTATTGGCCAAACAATCCATTTGGCTTGTTCTTCGGGTTTGAGTGGATTCGTTACTTCACCGAAGAAAATGAAATAAAATATAGCGGCGGTTCCGGCTAACATGCAACCATTTGCTGTTTGTGAAAATTGTGACAGATGTTTCAAAGATCGCACCATACCCATAGGGATGATGAAAATCGAGACTATTAGTGGATACCAATTGATGGATATGCCGTACAACGGAGCGTACCATGTTGATGGGTCATTAGTGAACCCATCGACTAACTGAAAAAACGACAAGGTGAAATGGTAACGAACGGGTGTTCAGTGCGACCACAGTATAAGGTCACAATATTGCTGTACATAACGCTATGATATACACTATATCGTACCTGTTTGAATGTATTTGAAACAATGCAAACGTAGATGGTGTTCACTCCGTAGTAGGTAGCTACTAATACAATCGTTGTCAGTAATCTGTTGGCGCATAACCGTAATAGCGACCGCAAATGGACGCGTTGGGGGAAAAAATAAAAAAAAAAAAGGTAAATAATAAAGAATAAATAAATATATATTCGAAAAGAGCGGGTAGTACGCCTGCGCAGCCTCAGAAAGGGATAAGGCACGGGGTGGTCAGAGACAGTGGTGTTGGGGAGTCTAGTATGTACGTACTTTATAGTCAAGGCCGATCCTGCAAAATAACCGCGGGCACCACGCAGGAACACGCCGTGCACCGTTTCCGGGTAGTCGATGGGTGGTAGTATTAGCTCGTTGGACCTAAATTTCTTCGGTGGTGGTATATTATCGCCGTCGACTTCACCGTTTCCATCCTGGTTTTTTTCCCTCTGTTCAGCGAAATATGCCGAGGCATATTTTCCAGACCGGAGGGCTTGTGATGTTTTAACCTGCACACACACACACACACACACACACATATACACATGCACACGCACGAGCATATTATAGTTGGTCGACGAGTCGTTAGAAAGCGATGGTGCGTCGACCAACAGAACGCCTATAGTTTTTTTTTTTTTAATCTACCATGTGCAACGCGGGGGGGGGGGGGATTGTTTAAGAATGCGGCCGGTTTCGTTTGAATTTATTGCCATCACTACGGACTGCTTAGTTAATGGTGGTGATGCGTATCGTGGGATTAATGTTATAGGTAGTAGATTCGAATCTCCAAAGAATTTCCGTAAATTATTAATACTGTTAGTAAAGGATATTTTGACTGAGAAACATTCACGGTCAACTGCATATACACACGCATCATACGCGTAGAACGCATTTGTATCGGTGCGGATAACATTATGTAAATTCATTACTCACAATAAATATCATCGTGTCCAGTACGCATAGGCCCAATAATAGAGTTCCTAATGATCCGATCAAAATTCCGGCGTTGTGGAAAGCCTCCGGCATAGCCAAAAACCCACCGCCAATAGTGCTCTTGATCAGGTGCATCATAGCATCTTTATGACTGCATGCAGTTCGTGAGGTGATGAACGAGTCGGAAACACAGAAATAAAACGCATCGGATTAATTGCAAAGATTATATTATAATTATTATTATAATTATTTCTCTCGCATGCTTTTTAAAACATTCACGATGCACTGTATGTTTTATTATCGAATTGAAAATTGATTAACTTTATTCGTAGCGATGCGTGGAATTACTATACATTTTATATATCTCACACATATTTTAATTTCAATTAATATACAATGTACAATTGATACATTGTTCGAATAGTTCTTTATCAAAATAATTTTTTTTTAATCGCAAATTAACAATCAGTTTTACTTTAGCGTATATTTAGAAAATATTTTCAATATAACGCGTTTTATATTTATTGAATGTGTTTCATCTCTAAAATAACATTTTTTTTTACAAATATTTTATCGCCTATCTATAGCCCGAAATTAAATACTATAATATTATAATGATTGTCATATTTTTTATCATATAATATTATAATATTTATTTAATGTATGCTGTTAAAATACAGCAATAACCGAAAGATACCTTGCACGCTTGCAGATTCAAAGCTGAGATGAGCATCATAATAACAAAATAACATTTTCTACAAATATTTTATCGCCTTCCTATAACCTGAAATTAAATACTATTATGTTATAATATTTTATAATATTTATTTAATGTACGCTGTTAAAATACAGCAGTAACCGTAAGATACCTTGCACGCTAACAGATTCAAAGCTGAGATGAGCATCATAATAACAAAATAACATTTTGTACAAATATTTTATCACCTTTTTATAGCCCGAAATTAAATACTATAATATTATAATAATTGTTATATTTTTTATCACATAATATTATAATATTTATTTAATGTCTGCTGTTAAAATACAGCAGTAACCGAAAGATACCTTGCACGCTTGCAGTTTCAAAGCTGAGATGAGCATTATAAAGTTAATCAAAAATAGTTTATACTGTTTTTAATACTATTTTACACATAAATTAAATATCTTATTTATTGTCTTAATAAATTAAATTATATTTAAATAGTTAAATTATACACACTTAATTATAATATGTCTTACTTGTTAATATTATTTTTATTTCCGATTATGGATTTTATTTAGATGTATATTTAATATAAATAAGTTTTTTATAATATTTTATATTAAAGTTAATTTCGACATAGTTATTTTGATGCATGTTTTTGATGTTTGATCGTATATTAAAAATTATAATACATTATAATTCTACTTACGTAAGTAATTCATTATTCACTGGGGCTGTAGCTTCAATAGTTTCAGTAGTCTCCGGTCTTTGAAGGACCGGAGAATCCGGGTCTTTTGTACGAGGTTTTTCCTTCATCTTGTCGTATACAAACGTGTTTTTGTGACGCCGTCGTGGTTGATACTGAATACTGACAGCTGGAAATACTGGCCGCTCTGCTACCTAGGCGCCAGTCGTACAACAAAGGACAATATGAGGGGGTTCCAAGACCAGTACTGCAACATCAGGAAGGTCGAAATAATAATCGTTCGTATTTTGAAATTGCAACATTTATAACGTTATAAAAATACATAACAATTATTTATAAAAAAAATTATGCATTATTATTATTATTATACCCTGTATAATAAAAAATGTGTAAAACAACTAGCGGACAATTTAGATAAATATTTTAAAACTCTTAATTCATACTGGGTTTTTAAATATTATTAACTGCTATTATAACCATAGTCTTTAAACATTGAAAAAGTGAACAGCTAAAATGTTAAAACTATTTGACTAATAATAACGAATGGTAATTTTTATCGGACGTATAGGTAATTAATAAAAAAATATGAAATAAGCATTTAATAATTTATATCTTAAAACAAGTTGATACTTAGTTTCCAAAATATAAAATATTTTAATACAAAATATAATTAAACTTTTATTCGAAATGTTACAATGAAAAATATCTTATGCGGGTTGAAATTAATTTTCCATTAAATTACATTCTATGTATTAAGACTATTGTGAATAATGAGTAATATGGTGATGTTTTGAAAATAAAATTCAGAGAGTCTATCACACAAATTAAAAGCAGAATGATATTTAAACATACGCAGGAAAAAATATTAAAAAATATTACAAGTTTAAATATAGTTGTATAAAAAAATTAAAATTATAAATTTAAAATTTAAAAAAAAAATTTAAATAAAAAAAAAATTAAATAAAAAATTAAATAAAATTAAATAAAAAAATATTAAATAAAATAAAATTTTAAATTATAAATTATAATTAAAAAATAATTATAAGTTTAAATATAGTTATAATTATTTTAAGTAGTTTGAAAAATAATGTTATATTTACCTATAGTATGTGTAGCATGTAGACACAAACGATGAACACCGAATCCACGACTTAAACTAATTCAGTTTCGATTCTTCGGTAAAAATATTCTTAAAAATGACTTGAACAGGCTTTATATACTGTCCTTATCAGGTACATAACGTTCTATATGAAGTTTGATAATTATTTTCCCTCTTTTATTATATTGATTTAAAAAGATAAAAAAATCACGAAAAAAAAATCCATCTCTATAGTACTCGATAAAATAAAATATTTACAATCGTCCCACTTTTATATGTTTGATATTTATAATGACCTGTGTTTGACCTATACTGGATGCTAAGAAAAAAAATTCGATACCTACTGACGTCATTAATTACTATTAATCATCGGTGAAAATTATCAGATTACTAAAACTGATCTATTATAATCGACTTAAAGTTTGTATTGAGCTAAGAAAAATAAAATAAATTGTTTTAATAAGAATGAATTTTACCTAAATTTTATTTCTTTGACATAGAAATTACATTTGAATTAGATAGAAATTGACGAATTTAAAATTTTTCTATTTTTTGTTTTAATTGTAATAATCTGTGACAAAATCATGAAATATTTATAGATTTTAATATTTTGAATTTTTTTTTTTTTTTTTTTTTAATTGCGATTTTCTTGACTTTATATACACCTCATGATGAATTATTGATTGGAAACCGGTCGTACTTTACAAATATAATAACGCTTCAAGCCAAGCATTTATTTATTTAATTATTTATTTCTATACATAAACTATTGGTTTATTTATTTATATATTGATTTACGAATATTAATCATTAACTAAATTATTATTTTATTTTTATTTGTCCAACCCAGTAGTATTATACAAAAATATTAATGTTATATCATTATTTTGATGATATTGTACATTTTTTAAATGATTATTTTTTTAACTTATGAAAAATCAAATAATTTATTTTATTTAGTCCATTTTTAACCAAAAATACATAGCCATATAATATTGCACATCGATTTACTTTAAGTTTTGATGTTTCGTTAATAATATATATTATTCATTATAAAATTAAAAAATATTTTTATGTAATTATTTATCTATTAAAAAAAAATAAAAAATACCAACGTTTAAATATAATGTAGATATATTTTGATTGATTTCTATGAATCACAATTCGTCGAAGTCTTTATAACTTATAATCAATGTAAATAAATATGTAGTGTTCTAAAATTGATCTAATATATTAAATAACCTAATAAATACAGCTAATTCCTAATAATTTATATATCTTATATAAATTTCAATATTATAATTATAGCAAACTTAAATATTACCAATTAATTATACGACTACTAAAACATTGTAAGATTATATTAACATTGTATTCGATATCCATGTCATAAGACATGGAACTAATTATGTGATTCAAACGCATACAGATATTACTGGTGGTATTTAAAGAAATGTAATGTTGTTTTAAAGTTAATTTTCCGTTTTTCACTCATATCGGATAACTTACATGAAAAAAACGATCTACCTATATATGAAATAAAGAAATAAAATTGAAAAATAAAATAAAATAAATAAACAAAAAAAAATGTAATTAAAAAAAGAAAGAAAAAAAGTTTTAAAAAAATATTGGCTGATATTTCTTAGGAATTTTACTATTAAATAATGATCAGTTCTACTTAGGTTTTAGCACAAAATCGTTTTTCAACATTTATTATTGCTTTCCTTTTTAGTATCATATACTTCTGAATAGTTCGAAAAACTAATTATACAATTTCTGTATTACAGGTGATTTCTTATTTTAATGAATATTTACTTTTTTGGTCATTTTTATATATGGCTTTTGTTAAAAATTTTATAAAATCAGACCTGATAATTTTATATAAAATTATTTTATTACGTAATGTATAGTATCTATTACATAAGATTAGATTTGTAATAAAATTACGTTAAATTAATTTTAACAGCATTTTATTTTTTAACTATCAATACTTTATCAAAGTTTTATCTTTGAGATAAAATAATGGGTTACGTTCGTAAATAATAAAAATATAAATAATGATTAGTTTTTATTATTTAAACAGATAAAAAATTGTGTTTGTATTTTATTTTATTTTTGAGGTATCTACATTATTTTAAATGAAACAAATTATTTTACATCGGCGTTATTTCAAAATCCTTTATTAAATGTGAAAATTTATTATAGTTTTCAGATATATATATATATATATAAATTTAATTTAAGGCATTATAGTAAATTGAAGCTAATTCAATACATAAAAAAAAAAATTAGTTTGAAAAAAGGGTATGAAGGGTGTATATTTTAATTATATTTGTTTTTGGTCTATATATCTATTAGTAATTCACACCTATCTCAGTCGGTAATTATTATTTAAATCAACATATTAAACAAAATAAAAAATTTTCTAGTTAACATCCAGTCTAGAACTGTTTCGAAATTTAAAAATGCAATTTTTAAAATATCCTTCATTAACGAACCCATACATAGTTATAAAAAAATTCCTTCAAATTTCAAATGAATCGAAATAGTAGTTTTAGTTGTATGGTAATCAATCGGTGAATTAGTGATATTTTAATTTAATTATACAGAAGATAAAACATCAATAAAAACATTTGATACAAAGGATTCTAAATCAACATTTAATAACTTATATCGTATCAAACAATACCAATTCATTGGTGCGCAATCAACAAAGTGAAACTAAATATTAATCAATTTCGTTATATTATCGATTACACTGAATTGTTTTTTTGAATAATCCACTGCAGTTACTCGGAAAACCAGTATCTACTGTAGACATTTCGGAGGGGAAAAAAATAAAAAAAATTACCACAATAATAGTATCTATTTGATACGCACGTAAATAAATTCAATATCGAATAATACGAATGCGCAACTTGGCATGTAATATGATGAAAACGTATAAGGAGCTCGGATTACAATTATAATAATTTATAGTTACAGAAAAAAACAAAAAAAAATCTAACGATATCCTCAGAAAGCTGGCTTAACGTCCGAGCTGTCTCTCAGTGCCTGATTGACGATATCACGGACATTGTAAAACGCGCCGCCTACCAGTGCGGACAGGGCTAATATCAAAATCACCACGTTCTTGGTGTATCTCACGATCCTGCGGAACGAACGGCGTCGGTCGGCCGGTGTCCTCTTCTCGGCCGTAGTTGCCACCGCCGCCGCCACTGCACACTCGACCGTTGCCGACACCGCGGTCACCGCTCTGCTGCCGTTACTCCGACCGCTCCCCCGCTGATCGTGGTCGCCATCACCATCGTCGTGGTCCTCGTCACCGCCGTTCTCTTTCGGGTAATAGTACCACACGGTCTCCATGGCGACGGGCACGATCAACCCCAGCACGGAGAACCCAACGGAACCGACCAGCGACACGAGCGGCCCGATATCCGGCACGGCCGTGGCCACCATTACTGTAACACGCGTGAAACGGTCAGCCGTTAGTGCACGAGATCGAAAGAAAATATCGCGCGAGATCGTCCGCCCTTACTAGTGCCGAGTATTAGGGCGAACCGCATTGCATAGTAGTACGCCGTCATTTTGGCCGACCACTCTTCGTCGTCCCCATCGTCCGTCGCACCGGGCTCCCCCTCCGGCACGTTGAATATCTTCTTGCGCAGTCCCTGCCACGCCAGGTCGGCTGTGACGGTCAGCTGAAGTCCGTACGTCAGTAATATGCCCAACGCGATCATCGTTTTAATGACCTCCGACAGTCTGTGGGACAAACGATGATACAATGTACGATAGCGAAAAAAAAATTATTTAAAACGCACGAAACTATTTGTCGCCGAACACGTCGAACCGACGGATCAAAGTCGCACGTGCGTGAATCTACCCGGTCCGCCGACCGACGGTTGTTACTCGTGTACGCACCTCGTCTAATTGGTCGGTGTAAAAATTCGAAAAATAAATCAAACCTTCGAATTGAGCCTACCCGTCCCCCGATCTTACCCTTATCGTGACCTGCGAATTTTTCCGCTTATCGTTTCGTGCGTCGGACCGACGACATCGTCGTCCTGTGATACCACGGGTGGTCAGTATCAGTGAACGGAGGGGATTTGCTTTGCAGCGCTCCCCGGATATTTTTGTTCACTGTTATTTTAGTGCAGTTGGTAGTTAACTTGATTTTTCTATTATATTCCACACAATACTAAAACGTGGTGCATCGCGATTTGCGAAACGGCATGAATCCCTCGACACTACTTTTGTCGACACAACACTTTTGTGCCCACCGGAGCAAACCGACAAGCGATACACATTTTCAGTTGTAATCATGACAAGTCCGGCAATACTATCGTCGAGCGATCAACAAGCTATCTCGTCGATACGACATCGATAATTATTGGTATTGCTTTGTAATCGCGCCAGTGTTGTACAATGTTTCAGTTGTTTTGTACAATGAATATACGTGGTAGGCGATACGGTATTGAAATGCTTATCGCATCGTTTATCGTATCGTCTATCTTATTGCACTGGTGAAAACCACGCCTAACGCGACTTCCGCATTCATTATTTTACTTATAATGAACGTTGTATCGTATCGTAAACGTGCATGAGAATTTTTTACAGAGTGTGTACAATGTGTGATAATTTTAGTGGGAACCCTTTGTCCCGCTATAGCACAACTCAGTTTACTGAGTTTACTGATAAACTATTATTATGTAATTATTATTTTTAAGTCATTGTTACATTGATGACGAAAAGAAAAATGATAGATGTAAATTCAATATTATTATTAAATTTTTTTTATTTGCGGCCAATATATTTGTTTGAAACTGAAAAACAATAATTCATTTGTATGCAACAGATTTCGTATCATTAATTTGTGTATTAAACTATTATAGTGTTATATACGTAAACTCCAGTTAATAACCCTAACGATATTTGTAAGTATATAAAACAAACAATCAAAGAATTTAAGTACATTTGTCTGTAGGATATGCAGATACACACCGTACGCAAACCTATGTTATGTGTGGTATGTATGTATTATACTTTTTAAAGATATTTTTATTTTATATTTTATACCAACCGATAATTCGAGAACACATGATAACGTACGCATAATGTCATTTTAATGACAACTATAATAGTTTTTGCGATATTTGTGTTCGATGTTCACATGACCCACGAAGAATAAAACATTCACTCCAATTTATCTATATTTAAATTAAAAAATAATATTCGCTGCCTTCTTCGTACCATATTATCCTACCGCAGAACTAAGAGCTAGGTAACAATAACAAATTATCTAAAATACAATAATGTACTAACCGATTGTTCCGCGGCAAGTTGAGCGATATACTGCCTTCGCACAGGTCTCCGTACTTTAAATAACCGCAGAGACCCAGTACGCTGTTTAAAATCATGATGACGACCATTGACTGGTGCAAGGTGAAAGGAGGTCCAGCGAGTTCTAAAGGTCGACTCATAGCGTTTTCAATGTGCAAAAGCTTGTTTTGGTATAAGTTGAATAATAAAAAATACACGATACATGCAACAAAATAACATTTTTTTTCATTAATTTAGTATACACCATTATTCTATCTTTACAAAATATAACAAACTAGGTTCTAATTTAAAATACTTTTAAGGAAAATATGCTTTACCATTTTGCATTGTTCTAAAATCAAACATATTCGTGAATTACATGCTTATTGTATAATAACAAAAAAGTTCATTTGCAATCAAACAATACACACACACACACACACACACAAACAGTTTCAAAGTCATATAATGGTAAACTGCCGTTTTTATGTAATCCGGTCGCCCTTAAAATCTCCTTTATTTATAAACTTAATCAATGAGTAATGATGTAGATTTAAGGAAGCTAATCAAAACGTTTACAGCCGTTAGGGTAATATGTATCACTCAGTTGTTCATATAATTTAGCTGTGAGTCCTTCTAGACTCTATACTTATAAAATATGCAATTTCGAGTTGTTAAGTAAGTGTTTAAATTAGTTTAGATGATACAACAGTCTGAAAATTAGGGATTTATGTCTAAATATAATTTTTTGATGGACTATAAATCCACTTAAAACAATTTTTCAAAAATAAAAAATTATATTTTGAACTTCAATAATATGTATAACCATTTATTATAATTTTCAAATTTTTAAAAAAATATTCAACTTTGCATTTATTTGAGATCAGGTGTTACGCATGGTGTTTTTACATAGCCCTACTATGTATTCAAATGTACTTACCTTTTTTTTTTTTTCTATACTCTTATATAATAAAATTAAAAACGTGGGACAAAATCGTACTTTTAGAAATATCACTATATTAAATATTTTATTTGAACAAAAGCATAATAATATGGTTTTATTGTATCCATCGGTTTTTGGATTTGATGATATATTGCAAATAAATATTAAAACGTTTCAATCGCATTTTACAAAATAGTTTGAAAAAATCATAAATAGGAATGGAAATGATGTCTTAAGTAAACCAAAACATTTTAAATTATCCAATAACTTTTAATAGAATAAAATATTTATATAATTGGTAAGTACGCTACGTACATATTTACATGCATATACATAAAAGTGACAAATTGAATTAAAAAAAACAAAATATTATCATCATGGGCATCGTGTTAGAGAGAAAATACATTCTATGTTACCGTTCTATCTTTGTCTAGTCAAGTCATGCGATGGGTTACCAAACGGTGTTTGAGGTTCGAGATAGTGCAGCGGCCGACGGCGGCCAAACGGTAATATGTGGCCACCCAAATTTCCCCCTCTTGTTACTGTTTCGTACTGCCGCATACCGATATCGTATACACGGAAAATGAAATATTTTTTATAACTGTTTCACAAATTAAATTTTTGAATTTATCTTATTAAATGGCACATCTGTACACAAAGTATTCGCGTTAAATATATATATATATATATATTTAACTGTCATAGAAATCGTCTCTCCTTTTTATAATAGAATATGTATTGAGCGTTAAGTGAAAAATATAACAATCGAAAATTTTCATTGCCCAAGCGGAAAAATCTGAACGCCGTATAAAATGTTTTCACATGAAAAATAAAATAAAAATATATTAAATTGTATATAGACAAGTAAAATTTCCGTATATTTATCACGAATTCAATATTTATCGAATAAATCTCAGTAGAATAATATTGCATTACTATCTACATATACACATGACGTGTTAATCAAATGACTTATGTTAATATTTGTATTTAAATCATATTAATTGCGAGCCTAGTAGATTTAAAATAAAATGTTTGAAATCTTTAAAATGGAATCATACATAAGTGGATTCTGTTGAAACCGCTGTATTTTCCGAGACCATCCATTTCCTATAACCGTTTTGAAATAGGATACCGAAAAAATATATTGTACGTAGGCACGAAGTAATAAAAATATCAATAAAAAAAAAAGGGAGATATATCAAATTGTCTCGGAAATCCTGCTATTACCGAGACCATGGGGTGAAAATGTATATAGTAGGTTCATTAATAATTACACACATTGTACTAAACGTGTTGCTGCAGGTAGTGAAACGAATCAAAAAAAATATGAAAACCACTTGTACGATTTATTATGGAACATTAATTTATTTTTAAGAGATTTCTGATTATTATCATATGTTGTATTATATAGTGTCTTTTACTATAAAGTTATGAAAAAAAATATATAACAAGTACACAATGAGTTCTTCGTGTACGGGTATTTCTGTATAGTGAATACATTAATATTCCTTTTGACAATGCCTGTATACAGAAGTATTACTAAATAATAAGGTACCAGGTATTATATTCTGAAAGTATTTAATTTATTATAACACAATAGTGTTTATTCGAGTAAAAAAAAATGTAAATACATTTTATCATATCAATGTTGATTTTACACATTATTAACTTTGTACGTATGGATTATTTATAATAAATCATATAAAAAAAATACTTTGTACAAGGAAATTAAAAATATATATATATGTATGTAGATAAAATTAAAATAATAATACTAACGCATAATATAAGAACAATGGATATCACATGTATTAAACCAAATTGTTTTAGCCTAAATAGTATCACACTATTGTATTCTATTATAGTATTATACTATTGTGTTATAATAACACACATATTAAAAATAATTTCAAAATAATTTCCTAAAATATATTTAAGGAAAAATCCAAATACTTTAGTATATCTTGTAGCTAAAACAAATATTTAAATTTTTATATAATCTGGCACTTAATTTATAGGGATTTATTGATTTCATTTGTATAAAGATTTTTTAAAAATATTCTAGTAAATAATGAAATAATTTCAATAGAAGGGCTATAGGAAAAAACGATAATAGTCAAACATTATCAACAAATAGTTGTATTACCATAGTTTATTTATTTATTTTTTTTTTTTTTAATTGAATTCAAGATTTATCTCTAAGTTTTGTAGTTCTGAAACTTTAAAACTGCAATACTTAACAGTTGAGGATTATGGATTATTATCATTTTTTCTTTGTAGCTCTTCAATTGTTGTTGACTTTATCGATATGACAAGATTTTCCCGCCAAAATACTATGAAATAAAAACAATTTGAACTTAAACTTAAATACAGATAACGCATAGACTACCTTTCAGAAACTTTTTGTATTCGTATATAATATACTTAGTGCTAATCAAAATAAGAATTAGGTTTTTTTAACAAATTTCGGAGTATATTGAACATATTATCTATCAATATCTAATTTTAAATATCAAGCCGCAAATTAAAAATTCGTTTTGAATTAAAATTACACAAGTATTTATTTTCATTTAGGCAGATAGCCATGCGTTAAGGACATAGCAAATGATTGATTATTTCAATCAAAACATACCTATCTTCAGTCAATCATACCGACGAACAGAATAATGCAATTAGATTTATGAAAACTGTTTTGTATAATGTGCACTTGAGATCAATCAGTGTAATTTTTCAAATTTTGGTCCGTAAGTCGTACTAAATTAATTTGAATATTTTGAAATTTAAGAAATTATAATTGTTGATTGTTCAACATTGAAATTAAAACTTGAAATGTGGTCTGATCAATCTCACGTAGACGAAATAACAAATTCAAATAATTGTCTAGAATTCTTAACGTAACGGGTCCTGTTGTGGAAAATGCACGTTACTAACGGACACTTGTCTTGCTTACCATTCCGACGCCCTCCAAAGAGCATAGCGCACTTCCCGCGAACAGCGACCACCGAGTCGGCGGCCACACTACCAACTTGGCCTGGTCCTCGGGGGCCAAAGGGATCTGCTGGTCGTCCCCGATGAAAATGAAATAGAATACGGCTCCGATTCCGGCCAACATGAATGCGTTGGCGGCTATCGAGAACGGCACTAGGTACTTCATCAGCCGTACCATTCCCACCGGGATGATCAGTAGCCCGGCTAGGGTCGGATACCAGCGGATCGACAGTCCGTGCAGCAATCCGTACCACGCGTCTTCCGCCGCCCCGGACGTGTACTGGTCGATTAGCTGGAACACAACATCGACGCCGTAGTAGAGAACTGGCCGAGCAGCGCGGGCCACGCGCATCGCAACAACGACGGTTAACTTATACGGTGTCGCCGGGTCCAACTATCGTTTACCTGCTTTAACGTGCCGGCCACGATGCACACGTAGATGATGTTGACTCCGTAATAAGTTGTCACCAATGAAGCGCTGGTAAAGTTTCTGCTCGGTTCACGGGTGTCGGATTAACGAAGCGTCGTCCGGACGAAAATGGAAAAAAAGTAAGTTCCACAATTAATACGGAGGGACTAGCATGTTGTAACGCGAGGAGTTATGCGGTCAAGGGGCGAAGTGAGAGGCGAGACAAGATTTCGAAAGGTAAGGTTGGGTAGGAACGACATGTGATTGTCGTACGGTTAGACACGTGCACATATGACACATTACACAGTACGTACCTGGCGAACGAGGACCACGAGGCGAAGCGGCCGCGTGCACCGTACTTGAATACGGCGGCCACCGTATCAGGATAGTCCATGGGATCCAGGACCAAATCTTTGGAGTTCCTGTACTTTTGCGCAAATTTTTCGAAATTATTGTCGTCGTCGTTATCCGCTTCACCGTTGGCGCCGGTACTGTCCCTGCCGTTTCGATCGGCAATGATCATGGCAGCGTATTTACCGGATCGCAAAGTCTGCGAGCACCGAACCTCAAAACACACACACACGCACACGCACACGTATATAAATATGTATATTATATATATTATTGTACCTATACGACGTATGCCTGTAACTTCGATCGACTTTAGTAGATATAAGAGTTACAGCAGAAATTTTATTCGGTAGATATAACATTAGACGAGTACCGTTTCGAAAAATTCAATACATTAGTCATTTATTGATCATCAAATTAATTAAGCAAAATAAGCTACTGTTAACTCTTCTATAGTATTATTTAAATGTTAATATAAATGTTTATTATTTATTGCTGTTTATTAAATCATTGTTTGCTGTAACAAACTATTTGAAAATTGTTCGATGTATCAATGTATTATTTTGTGTCTTAAATTAAAAATAGTTTAAACTCAATATAATACTTTTTTTTTAAGTACTGATATTGATAGACATATATAAATATATGCACTCTGTTCTACTTATTTTTTAAGATTTTGTTATTGAAAAATCGGAAATATTGATATATGTCTCAGTAGCGTTCAGTAAATAAACCTAAATAAAGCTTGTTGAGACAGCGGTCAAGATTTTCTTTCTATGTTCCTCTGATAGAACATTTAACTAAAGTGGTGCCTAGTGTAAATTACTTAAAATATGCTCTAAATGAAACAGAGTTAACAGAGTTTATTTATAACCTACGGGGAAAATGATTGAATTATATTTGTATTCTTTACTTACCGAATTATTGAATTAACTTTAGCCTTATTATTTTTCGTAATCTTTTAAATATGATCAAATATCGAAATCGGCAAACAAATAAATTCATATTGTTCATATTCATTAGAAGTTTTTGTATGCATTTTTTAAAACGGCGCACGATGGAGAAAAATGTGCTCATGTTCAATTCGAAATGGCCTCACCCCACCGGACGAAACAGCCCGTATTTCCTTTTCAAAGCTCGTGGTTTGAGCGATGGGGATTTAATTTGCAAATGTTCATATTATTCTGTCGACAGTTTGAATTTACTTACTATGAACGACATCATGTTCAACACTGATAGACCTATGACTACCGTGCCCACGATACCGGTCACTACTCCTGCGTTGTGAAAAGCCTCGGGCATGGCCAAAAATCCACCACCTACAGTAGCTTTGACCATATGTATGAGCGCCTCATTGTTTCTGGTGTGCGTGATACGTGTAACAAGGACGGGTACCGAAAAGGAAAAAAGAATATAATGCAAAACATAATAGATCAAACGTCGTTTCGATCTGAACGACGATTTTCGATCCAGGTTCACCGTTACCAACGTATTTTTCTGTTGACAGTTTATCCTGCCGGGTACTCACGATATTTTGTGTTTATCGGTGGCCGGGATGCCGGCGGCCGCGGCCGACATCACGGACGAGGAGGTGGACATGAGACGGGAACGACGGCGCCGGCGCCGTTTCATCTCCGAAGCCGTGGGCGATCCGATGGCCATCGGCATCACCGTGGACGTGGCCCTCATCCGGTTGGTCTCGGACTTAGGGCTAGTAATGTTTGGCGTCTGCATTTCCACCATGGTGGCTGTGGTGCCGTACTGCGTTTGTCCGGTGGTCAAGCGTGGCCAGCTGTCGCGCGATCGTCACTCGTCGCGGTGAAGCGGTAACACGGTTCGACCGCGGCCTAACCCGACAGCGGCGGCGGCGGCAACGGCGATGCTGCAACGGTGTGTCCGCGCCCTTACGTATACCACGGTTTTTTTTTTCTATTCATATGCTATACACCGTATGGGCGCGAACGCACGGGCGGTTTCGAGGGCGACCGGATGCCCCCAAAAAAACGGTAGTGCCGGTGGTCGTTTCGCGTACGGATCACTCAGCGGGATGGCGGCGCGCGACGGGAGACGAGCGAGAGGTGAGCCACTGAGCGTTAGTGAACCGGAGTCGAGTCGTCGGACGAGAGTGCGAGTGTACGCGACACACTGACGACTGTAGGTCGAGTGCCCCGGCAATCGGTGTGGTAATCGATCACACGGTCGCAACACTGATCCATCGCGTTAATCGCCGAAAATCCCGGCCGGCGGCGGCGGCGGCGGCGGGAAGTAATCGTCCCGGGAGAGGTCTGTGCGACGACGGCACGGTCCGCGTACATGGAGTGGTTGGCGCATCGGTAATCGCCTCCGAGTACCGGGTTCGGCGCGGGCGAGGCGGGTCGGTGGGCGACCGAGGTGCCGATTGCGCGCGGAGGATTAGACGAAACGCACGCATTCGCGAACCGATCGTATCCCAGGGATTTGCCGGATTTGTTTGTTTATCATCGCGTTATCTCGCGGATTAACGCGCGCGGGACGATAACACGACGGTAGGGGGAGGGGCAATAAATCGAAACAACAAGCCGATGCCGGTGTTAATCCCGGACCCGAGCGACTTGCACCGGTCGGCTACGAGTTGCCCCTGGTTGCGATCCGTCGTCGGCCGTTTACCGGAAACCCGTCCGTAATGCGCCGGCACTCCGATCTCCGCGGTTACCGGGGCCATCGTCGGGGATCGCGTCAACCCGACCGCCCGTTATCGTCGCACGTTTTCACGACGTTCTCGAGTGGCCCGGGCACTTCACTCCCGCACCGTTTTTCGCCCGAACAGTTGTTGCCGTCGGCCGGGCGACGTGTTCTCGAGTGTTTGTTTTTCACGAGTGTGTACGCTGTCCCCGCGACGTCCGTGCGTCGTGTAACGTAATTTTGACGGTAACCGCTGCAACGATACCGCACCGCACAGTACATCGGTGTTGGACCCTTGTCGCCGCGGTGTTATTTTATTATTATTATTAATATTTTTATTTATTTTTTTTTTTTTCAGTCGAGTGCATTCGCCGTTGAGTGCTTGTTATTCGATTAAATATTCGGTTGATATTCGCGTTGGTTGTGCGATTACGTACGAAAAAAAAAAACGCGTATAATTTTTAATTATTATTTTGTTTCTTAGTAAAAACTTATCCGATAAATTACGACTTATGCGCGTGTCGTCGGGAAATCGTCGTTATCTTGCTTGTGCTCATTAACAAACGATACGTTTAAGAATCGTGTTCTTTTTTTTTTTTCTTCTCCGTTCGCATCCAAAAGCATATCAATGTGAAGGAATACAAGGCTTATCATAGAAAACTCTAACAGTCGTCGTTCAATATGTTATTGCCAACTATAACTTATTGGAAATACGAGTTACACTGCATCGTGATAGTTTTGTAATTTTTTTTATTTTTTTTCGTACACTTACGATTTTTCGTGTGATTTTGTGTATTTTACATACAATTACTATGATTGAGAGTACAATCTAACTAACCATTTAAAATCGTTTTACATTCAGTTTTTTCATGCGTCTTACAGAATTCCAAAATAATTACCTTCCATGTTTATCCATTAGCTAACGTATAATATTATATTATAGAAATTGCATTTTTTTTCATTTTTTTTTTATTGAATTTAGCGTACACATTTTATTATGACATAAATTTTAAGTTTTATAAGGAATTACAAATAAATATTGAAACATTCTTAAATTCTATAATTCAATATTTGATATTTTTATATTTTCGTCTACATTTTCGAAATAGAGCACGTAAAAATTGCTACTTCTGAAATTCTATTATAGGAATCACATTTTTTTGTGACTTCATTATTATTTTATGTATTAGAATATTATTTTAACAATATAGCAATGCTTCATAATCAAGATGGTTCCGATTTCTAATAATATATAACTACCCTAGGTTCACGGGTTCACCACGGGCACAATGTACAAAAAAATTAATTCTAGCGCTGTATCACATTGTAAGTTTTGTGCTTATTAGGCGTGGTAACTGCTACCGCAGTCCTTTATCTCGACCTCGGGGGGACGACTTCGGCGTCGACCCTGGAAATTCAACAGTAAAGTGTATGCAACACGACATCCGCATAATTTATCATAATTTTCTTCACGTTTCGTTATTTCTTGAAATACATGTATGATAAATGATTTTTACTATAACTTATTACGGTATTATAATACCTGTGTAACATATTACTTCATTAATGGATGGGTTGATCGTCGATGACGATCAATATAGTGACGTCTGCTGAACGGTCATGGTCGCTTTGAATTAAAATTTAAAATTTATTTAATAGATTATTACGTAAGTACTTATGTTTTAATAATATACTGACATTTATTAGTGATTTGCCCGTTTTACACCGCCCTCGTTATTTATAATTATTATGAAGTCATAGCATCGTTTTATATTGTGACTACTTTTTTTTTGCGTATTCTGAATCGATAACAAAGCTATTTTTTCTGTTTCTGTAAAGGTTTTTTTTTTTTTCCAAACAGTAACCTCTTGTAACAGCAAAATGTTTCTTAAAATCAGTACGAGCAAACAAACATACAGTTCAATAAAATGTATAACAATTATAATAATAATAATTTATCTCTTGATAAATTATCATTAAATTGAAAATTATGAACGATAACGATTCCGTTCATTATATTATAACGATTTTACGATTACCGAGTATAATGTAAAGTAATAAACATTGATACTACATGTATATTTGGTTATCCTGCATAATAATATTGTTCAATTAGAAATAGAAAATGTAAAGAAGTAATATTGATGTTATTTGTTGAAATAGTAATATTAAGTTGAATTTTTTCGATTTTTTTTAAAATATTTTTTATATTATATTATTATATTATAATATCTATTACTTAGCGTTATGTTCTTTATCAACTGCCATCTTATTATATTTACGTGAAATATATAACAACTTAAAAATTATTTTCTCCTTAATCAACAATGTAACATTGCTAACTATTAATTAACAATGTAAAAAAATATCCGTATACAATATGAATAAAAATGATTAAATAAAACATGAGTAATTAATAACATTAATTTACAGAACTACATTGAAATAACAAGAATTATAATTGTTAGGGAAAAAAAACTTTGTGTAAATAAATCTACATCATTTAGATTATTAGACATCGAATTATTGATAAGAGAATCAGTTAACTTTTATTTTTTTTCATATGCACATGTTGATTATATTTAGCCGCACAATTTAGTAAGTACTTGTAACATATATGTACAACAATGAAACCCGGCATAACACTGAGATCGAGTGTTTGTTCACTTCTCGAATAAAAACATAAGTTATTAAATACTGACTGATAAAATGTAAAGGAAACAAAAAAACATCATTCGAATCTTGTGTAGGTCACTCGGAAGGATTTATGATTTCATAAATGGATTTCATTTCTTGTGTACATTAGAAAACAGAGATGGATTATCGAATATGAAAAATGATTTGACGCGAAGGTCGTCAAGTTGCATACGTATACTGAATATTATCTTATAATAATTGTTATTTAAATTCTTCACATTTACGTATTAAGGAATTTTTGTATTAATATTTATATGTAATTTAATGAACTTCAATTTCTTGTTAAATATAATTCTACAGCTTGATTAAATTAGAATGTTCTAATAACTTAATAACTTGCCTTCGTATGTCCATTTTCTATATTTGAATTAATATTTAAAGGAATAAATTATTATAAGTAGTCACACATTGGCTTAAGTTTAAAGTTTTTCTATTGTAAAAAAAATAACGAGATTATGTATACATAAATTCGAGTCTTATAATAATTTAAATGTTTTTAATAGTCTTAAAACGTATATTGTTACTCATTAAGTATTTTAAAAATATATTATTGAACGAAATTCGATGAAATTTAAATCTAGACATTGGAAATTTACACTTACAAACAAGAAACTGAATTAGATCATCATATTAAAGAGTTTTTATAATTTGAATAAAAAACCAATAGTAATTTATAGACGAAGACGATTTACCTTTAGATTACAATGACATGAAATACTTATTCGATGTGTATGTTGTATCAACCTTTGTTCAGAATAGTTTTTCGAATGTCATTTTTAATTTTTTTTTTTTTTTTTGAGATTTATGTAAATAATAATAATAAAACCAACAAAATATTATAATACCCGTATATTATCAGATTTTTTGTTTTTTAAAATAGTATATCATGTAATAAGGGTGGTAAACGAGCAATCTTTGTGGTACACAAGGACTGCATCTCGTAATTAAGACTGAATTATCGCGGCAAGAACGGTACAAGAAATTATTAGTACCTATTTGACGTATTTAGATAAAACGTACATGAAGTACATGTATATATTAAGGGCAAAACGGTATAATTGGGCATTTCGATCGAGTGTTGTGCACAATACCAGATTTAAGAAATTAAAATGAAAAAAATTACACTGCTCGAGCATTGTGTACAGCGATTGAATGCATGTAGGGTAATATAAACAACCTAACAAAAACTACACATATTGTTCACTGTGAATTATATTATGTAATTATTACTGATAAGATAAACATTTTTTTGTTTTAAAAAATGATTTGTAATAATAATATTAATAAGTAATTAAAATGGTTATATTTATATTAATTTCAGCACGGATAGTTTTTGTGGGAGTCTCGATAAAACTAAAAAAAAAAATATTATAAACGGCAACTAAGAATAACCCAAACAATATATAAAAACTAAAACTGCTATATCGGTCAAATACAAAACAAGACGTACCGTCGTAGTCTGACAACGAAAGCTATCGAAGTATTATCCCAGTATTAAATAATCATATCGTACGGAAAATATGGATAGATCTGATACTTTTAATAAAACTTGGATTATAACTCCTTATTCCATAACGATTTTACCATAATGATCCCGTTGTATCATGTAAGTATTTATATAATATAATAGATATGCAAACCGTTAATCATATTGCATGACGGATTTTAGTGTAGCTTTTATTAAAATCATTTTCTGATTCACTTGTGGCACAATTTTATTTTATATTTTAAGAGCTGATGGTAGACTAGTAAACGTTATATTTTATCGCGTGCTGTAGGCACATAAAATTTAAGCGAAAAAAATACATAACGGTTAAAAAATGACGTTTCGATAGTCAAAAGAGCAAATTTCCACAGCTTCGTCCCGGAAGTCAACGGATTTTTTCGGTCCACGAAACTTATTTTGCATTCAACGGAATAACAGCTGCTATAAACTGTCGATAATATTTTTACCGACGAGAAACATTAACGGTCTTAAAGTTGTTGGCCAATTATATACGACGGTACTGACTCTTCTGCATTCTCGTCCTTGTTGGACTAGGATCACGATAAAATCACGCAGTCTACCCGTTTATTTTTTGTACATGCAATATGATATACTAACAGAGACGGTACTGCGGTTATACTTACACGGATCGGTGAAGTAACGATAGATTAATTTTGAGTCGGCAACATCGTTGGTAGGTATGATGATGTAGGTCTGCTGTAACTACCCATGTCACTACCTATTTTACATATCTAACGTACCCAATTGTTGTGTAATACGCTTGCCTATAACGTATTGCTAATACACCAATTATTGGTGTTTAAAACGGTTTGGTGACCAATAGCAGTCGACAGAGTCGTCGCGATCGTCTACGGGTACACGCGATTTAATGTTATGCGACGGCTATAATTATGTTGTTATACGCAGTATGAATTTCCATTACAGCGACGACGTTTTGAACGCAGCGAGTGCAACGATGAGGACCGCCGAGGTAATAGTACCTAGCAATAATTATTATAATCATACGACGACGGAAATAATGATTGTATAATGAAGGAAAATTACGATGGTTATAATAAAGAAGAAACGAAAAAATTATGGTAGCTAAAATATTATAATAATGTATATAAACGTAGCAATACAATTACGTAATTAAAACCTATAATGTGTAACGATTAAACTTTGTTTTTTTTTTTCTGTTTTTCGTTAAACGATGTCACACGTTCAGAATCAATATCGAAAAATTATTATACATTATTAAAGCAGTAATGATTTTAGTTATGATATAAAAAAATAATAATATAAATAAAATTTTTTTAATTACACTTAGATACTAATGTAAAATGTAAAATTATGTGTTTTATCGAATACAATATTTCAAGTGTACTGTTTAAACACATAAACTTATTAAAAAAAAAATATATATATATATTAAAACTAGAATACGTTTTTTTAATAAAAAAAAAATTATTCGTAAGTCTAGCAAGACAACGAATATCAATAGCTATATAAAAAAAAAAATTTTTTTTATAAACTTACATGCTATTACAATTATATTACATGAAAATTGATAAATAAAAAAAAGTTCAAAAATAATAAGTTAAAAATGAATGAATATAGTATACTTGAAGAGATTACGTATTGTCTTTAATGATAATGTGATTTCTATAAAAGCGCGAATGAAAGTGCGACGTTCGAAGGTAATACCGTGCCGACCGCGCGAAAAGTGTGGGTAAGTATTGGAAAAAACAAAAATAATTGTATGGATGATGAGAGCGATGGAGACGTTTTCGGTTGTGTTCAGCTCTCGTTCAAACCGTCTCCCCGGCTACCAGGAAGGCCGATTCCGGGCCAGGGCCTATTGTGGTCGTGGTCGTCGCCGTGCCGTTTACGTTGGCGCCGTGTCTGGAGTCTTCGCCACCGGCACCGTAAAAAGCCACGATGTCCACGAGCGAGGCATAAGTGCCGGAGACCAACGCGATCAGAGCGATCATTACGATCGCCATGTCTTTGGCCATGGCCCAACGGCTCATGCCCTTCCTCCGGCGTGTCGACCTGCCGCTACTCCTCCTTCTCTGCGACCGGTGCTGCACGCCGCCGTCCAGATCCGCGTCGTCGCTCACGGCGTAATAGTCCCCGTCAAAGTCCAAATCGTCCTCGGAATCCGTGTCGCCGTTGTCCTCGCCATCCTCGTCGTCGTGCTCCCAGAACGCGAACAGGTGTATGACGGCCGGGCACATGAGACCGAGGATGGAGAAGAACACCGCACCGATGAGCGATATGAACGGCGCCAGGTCGGGTACGAGCGCGGCGATGAGCACTGCGAAACAAGTAGAAACGATTAGAATATTTAAAAAAAAAAACCACATTAACGCGAACATGTGAACAAGTTTCAGCGGGAAAGGAAAAATAACTAAACGTATAGATGTGTACTGTACCGGTGCCCAGGATCATGACCGCGCGCATCACGTAATACGCTCCGTCCATTGGAGCCTCCTGCTGATTCAGTTCCAGTTCGAGCTGCTTCTTCTCGTCTACGGACACGGCCGTGGTCGTATTGCCGCTTGCGATCACGTTCGTGGCCACGGTGGACGACGTCTTATCGCCGTTCAGGTACATGCTATTCTGTTTGCGCTTGCGCAGCCACGGCTCCAGGCGGGTCCACACAATCTCGCTGGGCACGCAAAACTGCAGCCCGTACGAGAACAGAATGGACAGCGCTACCATGATTTTCACCGCCTCGGCAAACCTGTATCGTAGATAGAGAACGGATGAAAACATTACGATGTTAATGATGTAGGATAATTATTGTTTATTAGCGGTCGGACGACCGCACATTGTTATACGTCGACTGGACGAGGAACTGATTTGCGATGTAAAAACATTGCGTTTCAATCGCGCCGGAATCGAATTATTTACTTGAAAATGTCATCACGGGGTTCACCTTAACTTGATATTGTACCGTGTTACGTTATAATTGGTGCGTTGCGTTTACTTACAGATCGTTGGGGAGATTGAGCGTGATCGAGCCGTCGGTAGCGTCACCGAAACGCAAGTAGCCGAGGAACCCGGCGATCGAGTACAAGCACACGACCAGCGTCATAGCGCTGTTGAGCACGCCGCACGGGCGGGCCGTGAGGAACCGCTGTGGATGACGCATCGAGTTCTCGATGGGCAGAACCTGAAATCGGACGCAGGCGGTCGTGAGAAACAGAACGGTCGGACAGCCGGGCGTCACTACTCACGGTGCCGATGCCCTCCATGGCGAACAGAACAGTGGCGAAGAACAGCGGCATGTGGCCGATGGGCGCGATCCACGGGCGGGACGTGATGTCGGGCAACGGTTGGGCCGCAGCCAGGGCAGTCTCGCCGGCGAACAGGCTGGCACCGGTCACCACCCACGACATGGTGCACCCCAATCCCACCAGAATGAACCCAGTGGCTATGGCCGAGAACGGCACCAACAGCCGGAGCGTGCGGATGATCCCGAGAGGCACCAGCGGCACGGCCAGCCCGAGGATCCATGCGCGGATTGAGAAGTGATATTCTATGGGCGTGTGCGTGTCGGCCACCTGTTGGAAAGTCGACGTGCCAATGTCATTCGGTAAAGACTTAACGTAGAGTGAACGTACCTGTTTGAATGAAGCTGCGACGAGCACGACGTACACGGTGTTGCCGAAATAGTACGTGCAAAACAAAGCGGCGTTGACGAACTCCCTTTGTGTTCGCAATTTGACAGTCGAGACGGATCGACGGCAGCGACGGACGGACACACCGGAAAAACACCGAAAAACAACGTACATCAGTATCAAACGTGAAACTCGTTTTCCGACGGAATATCGTCGGGTCGCAATGCCGGCAAAAATAATCGACTCCTACAGCTGTGTCGGGGAGGGGGGAGAGGAACGGAAAATCGCGTCGAGTCACTATACCACGGTCTTAGGATAAAATATTAAATAGAAGTGTGCACGTCATGTTGTGTACACATTATGCAAGAAGGTTCGAGGTAACGACAACGTTAATAAACAATATTTACAATGCAAAGAATACTCCGCGTACCCGACAATGGAGAACATCGTTATTATTTACGTGCAAACTGCATTATAATATGTTTGTAAACTTCAGTGTCCGGCACATCGGTTTACGTTCCATCGCGCCGTTTTATTGTACATTCTCGCGTTTCCTATACGCTATTTTGCTCATTGTTCGTCCGTTCTGTGCTGTCGTAGTTGTAAATATTTTTTTTATCAATAACATGTACGGCATTATAATACCACAACGAACACATCCCGGACCAACAAACATCACCGATGAGGCCAATACAGCGTAATTATACGTAAATGGTTATGGTGTTATGAGTGTTATGAAATCGTACACAAAAGGTTATGTTGTTTATCGGGTTGTTCGTAAATGGTTGTGTGCTGCACATATTTCGTTTTGATATTGTGTTTTTCTTCTTATTACGTTATTGTTTACCAATTCTGACGAAAATTCATCGAAGAAAAAGTAATTAGTTTATTATAATTATCAGGCGTTATAGCTGATCAATAAGACTCTAAAAAAATGTAATGGGATGCATTAAGTACTAGTGCGAAAATAATAAAAGTGACAGTAAAAATATAGGTGTAATCGATTTTGAATAAAACATTGAAAACATTTTCGGAGATTATTATTTTTTCCGAATATTTGGTAATATTCGTAACAATAAAACCTTTTATTGTTACATTGATTTTACTGTCGAAATTATTTATTTTATCGAAATATAGACGTGGTGATATGATTATCCAAAAATATGAACATTTCAGCTAGTTATACAATTTTTAATGTTAAATCAAAATATTTAGTTAAAAAAAATAAAACCGTGATATTTGTGTATAGAGCATTGATTTATAATATGAACACCAGAATACAGTATTATTTATTAAGAATTTATTCATTATATTATTATTTTTATTTAATACGTTTTTTACTTTATTCATTATTTAATATAGAAATAAAATATTTATATATATAATATTACTCATTTAGAATCGTTTTTAAGCTAATTTTTTTTTTTTTTTTAAAGCGTGTGAAAAATAGCACAATTTTATTAATAAGTTCAGTATGTAAAGAACTTGGCGTTTCTAAATTATTTTTTGTTCCTTACGCCAGTTATTTTTATTATTAAATTAAGATGGGTAATTTACTCTACGAACTTATTTATTTAATATACCTATGGTGAATTGGAAATGGGTTGTGACTTAAGAGATATAAATTTATTCACCTAAATAACTTTCATTATTTTACATGTTATTATTGTTGATGTAAGTGATAATTATCTATTATTAACATAGAATATTTCCAAGATCATAACATATTTTAAATAGTATGATGTATAATTATTTTCATTGTCATACAAGTAAAGAACAATAATTGTATTTATTAAATGTTGAATAATGAATGTTAAATGCTTGAACCTACTCAGTTTTCAAGTTCTAATAGAATAGAATATTATGGCTTGGAAATATCGATCACTATGACTCATTAGACATGACTTATCGACATTTAGCCATCTTAAACAAATTAAATTTAGGCCGGTTTATTATAGTAACGAAATATTCCGCAATTTTAACAATCCAATTGTAATTTAATAATTTGTTAAAATATACGTAAATAAATCTATGTAGTTACGCAATTACACCATAAAAGACCATCACATGTTTATTTGTTATTAATCCTAATAATAATACGTGCAATAGAACAAATTTAAATATTGTTCAGCTTACACTGAAGGCTCTATATCAGTATTAGATTTTTCTGACTCCAAATACAATTTAGAAGAAAAATGTATAATTGGATTAATTTTCTCTACGATCAAGTTTTTGTTTACAACTCGATTTTAGAATGATGTATACATAATTAACTCCTTCGTGCGTGTTTCATAGCATAAGTTCATAACATAGTTCGTATAAAATTATTGTATTTCTTAACATTTTAAAAAATAAAAAGTTAGTCTATAAGTTTTTGGTAAAAAAAAATGTATGATTTTCTTTGAATGTTCCAGTAATCACTAAATATTTACTAAAAAAATAATTAAGTTTTCTTTTATAAATAAATATATAGGTAGTAAAAGAAAAATAACACACCACTCAACGGAATTAAATTAAAAACAACATTATAATTAAAGAAAAAAATCATAGTGTACTTTAATGAAATACAATTCAACACGAGAAAGAAAAGGTCATTGTGAGTGACTCAGAGATAGCTCTCCTCGAAGTACCACAGTACCTACCATACCTATAATCGAGGTTTTAATAGCTAAAACGGTGAAATAAAACGAATTTTCAACGGCGATTGACGAGTCACGACCCTGATTTGAATAATTATTTCTCATACACTGAATTAATATAAGAAAAATGTAACCATGCAAAGTTCAGAACTACTAAATAAAATAAACAGAATAAACATATAATGTACCTGGCAAACGGTGCCCATGCACGGAACCGACGCGGGCCAGTACTGAACGCCGCAGCAGCGGTATCAGCAAACCCGAGGGCTGGACGACGAGTACGCCGAGCTAGAGTTTGCGAACACAGTACCTATAAAAATACAAGTAATTAAAGGTTGTGATCAATTTACAATGATTGAAATAGGAGTTTTTCACACTTCAACCCTGTACTGTACAAGTTAAACAACTCGTCAAATATTTCGCACAGGAAGTCGTAAAAAAAAATATGTAAAAATAAAAAAGTATAATTAACAATACCGATCAACCTTGTTTATTTTTGACTTGGACTGTAAAAATCCACGATTAAAATTTAAATTACATAGTATGATATGTACTTATCAAGGGTAAACTCTAATTTGGAATAGCCAATATTTTAAATGTTTCCGGAACCTAATAAAAGTGTTTTGTAATTACGTAAATTATACGTTGTATTATATAATACAACTATTAAGCTGGCACGACGTACGTTTTTTATGCAGTCGGAAACAAAATATTTGAAAATAAAATAATGCACAGCGAAAAAATGTCTTCAACACTACTACCGTGCAGTTGAAATGTCCAGGGTCGAACAATAAAATAAGACATCGACGGCTGTTAGTATCGGCTATGAGCTTTTGACATTACGTTATTTATTATTCGCGTACAATTCATTTCTCGTTTGAGAAAATAAACGAGTCGACAAAACGTAACGCACGTCGTAAAGGAACATATATCGACTTTGCCGAAAAGGTCTTTTTACCTGTAAGAAACCTATCGATTGCGCTAAATATTTTTATATATCGATTCCGCCGAAAATATTTATACATGTTACATCACTATATACACATTATATTATACATACTATATACACCATATATAGCACGACGGTATAGTGGCACGAAGTAAGAAAAAAACATATTTAAATTTTATAGAATAAATAAATAATAATAATATGTATAATAATCACTGATTATTAATCAAGAACAATTTTTAGTTGGATTGAAATATAAATTTTGAGCTTGCATGTTTTAATAACACATCTAAATGCAGTAGTGTGAGTATTTGTGCTTTTGTCGGGGCAATAATAAATAGGATAATGGAACGTAATTTCCATTTTTAAAAATATGAACCGTAAACAGTTGATAGAAATATTTTGGGCGACTATAAAATGTACCATCTACAAGTATTTTATCACTAAAGAATAGCAATTTTAAATTAGAATTTGTAGAGTAGAATAAAATATTATTTACCGTGTCAGTATCTAGTGAAAAATCTGCTGGAAACAATATTATGTATTTACAAAATCGGAAAATGTTTTAATATTATAATATATAAATATATATATGTTATATTCTTATATACATATATAAATCTTCGGCGGAATCGATATATAAGAAATATTCGGCTCAATCAATAAATACAGATAGCGATACGGATATCGATTCCGCCGGCTATCAATACGTACAGATAGCCGGCGGAATCGATAAACTCCCGTCGTAATGGTGCCCGTGCTTTTTACCCGGTTAAACGAGTTGAAGCCGTGCACAAGTGCGCGGAGAGAAAAAACGCCGGACGATACATAACGTCACTCACCAGAAGGTAGATGCAATGCGTGCACAGCGTTCCAATGGCTGCTGTACCGACCAGGCCGAAAATAAGTCCGCCGTTTTTGAAAGCATTGGGCATGGCGAGAATGCCACTTCCAAGACTGCTCTTGATCAAATGCAACAAGGCGCCACCGTCACTGTACATAAAAGTCGAAGGGGAAAAAAAAAACATTAATCAAACGCATAATATTAGTGTTGACGACACCCTTCACGCGCGGGACAGTGCGATAAAAATAAATGTAACGCGGCAAACTTTTCTCGTCGAATACAGTCGGCTTGTTGTGTAGTCAATATCCTCTAAAAGTCGTTGTATCAGAACGGAGCGAGTAAGGGTTCAATTGTCAATGTTATGAAATTACATAATACACGTATTTTATTTAATTAGAATAAATTATTTTTACATACTACACAATATTGTGTATGTAAATTTTAAATTGAATTCAAGCGTGTAATTTAGTCTTACATAATGTAGTTACATTGGTGGAATCTAACGATAAGAAAGCGCTTCAAAAACAAATTGATATTTGTTGTACTTTGTGTATCATATCAATATTTTGTCGGATAATGTCACGAATATGAAAAAACCGGGCAAGTAGAATAAATAAAAATATCATGTTTTGTATTTTTCAATGCACGAAATGCAAGAATGGCAATTAAATATGAACCTTCTATCCTAAAAAATTGAAAATAATTTAAAAGTTTTTTACTATATCCAATATGACGGATTAAAAATTTCGTAATTAAATGATTCTAAATTTATATTGAATTATTTTCAAAATAGTTTTTACTGTTCTTAGTGCACAAGATTAAGTATAATTTGATGAACTAAGTAGTTTATTAAAAGCTTTGACACACTAAAGTGATAACGCCCCAAGATAAGTTTTCGTGTTGAATTCGCCTTGCATATTTAACCTTTTTTTATTATTATTTCTTTTTTTTTTTTTTTCAACACATACTTTAACTACTTTGTACAAATTAATAAGAATTTCATAGATACGTTAAGCTTTGTTTTTTAATATATATATATATATATATATATATATACCGGCATGCTAAAATATTATAGTAATGAGTTTTCTTTGTGAAACATTTTTCAATAGATAAAGCTATGACATGGAATCTCGGTTTAAAATAAAACGTGGAATCTCGGACTAAAGTGTCTTTAAGAATATCGAATCCGGCCCTGCACTGCATATACGTACCAGGATCGGAAGCGGTCGAACATCGTTAGTTAAAGGTTTATCGAGAGTATAATTGTTGAAAGTCGAACTTTCAACAATAAAAAAAAAATACACAATCGCAAGATGACAACTTTTGTTGGTGAATGTTAACCAATGATACCATGACAAATACGATATTAAAGTGTAAACCACCAACAGTAGATGGTTGAAGATCAACTGTGAACGGACTGCCTACACGGACCACCGCTCCACAGTCGCCGACAGACGAGACAGACGGTAAAGTTTTGCGTTCGTTACCTGTTTGGTACGATGTCACCGTCGTTATACTTACGTGGTCGCTTTGGATTTGTCCCGCATTTGGAACGGGTCGTAACGCGGTTGCTTCTTGCCACCCTTGCGACGGCGTCCTCCTGGTCCGTGACCGTTGCGCGCGACGTTGTTGGCTCCCGGGTCGGTGTACGCCGCTGCCAGGACCGCGTCGCCCACGCTGCTGTTGCTTCCGCTGCTCGAGTACTCGGTGAGCTTCATCCTGTTGGCGCCGTGTCGACAACAATATTGTTATGGTCACCACCGGTACGGTCGTGGTTGATGGTGATGTGGTTGTTGTTTGTTGTTGTTTGCAGCGATGACGGCGGTACAACGCGACGATACGCATTGGCACACACGGAGAAGGAGATACGTTTTCCGTCACAAGTACGTGTACGTAGAATGAATGACGAACAATGAATGACCGCACACCACATAGAGACGATGGTATGATTTTAACGACGATGGTGGCGGCAACGGCAGTGGTGGAGAGAGAGATGAATGTGGCCCCGGAGAACGTGAAAAAAAAACCCAATTTGATTACAATGTTATTATGTATTTCGACACGTACGCCCTCCCTCATGCGGTGTACATGCATATTCGTAAATTCGTTGTCCGTGTGCACAACAATATAAAAGTGTACGTTTAAACAGTACAAGTCGAAAGGTAAGGCAAAATCGCAAGTTCATTGTTCGATGGTGTCCCATCGTTCCGATTTATCCCTCGTTTCGGGATTTTCCATATTTTCGTTACCCGGACACCAATATCGGTACTCGCTATTGCCCGAAAGTAAAATCTCCCTAACGTTTATGCAGACATTTACGTAACATTTATGTGAATGCGCAAGTGTTTGTCTAACAATCCGATAGAAGATTTAATGGATGAGAACTACTCTCCTATATTCTTAATAATAGTATGCGGTTAAATAACGCTGAACGTTGTATAAACCATTTTGTTAGCTAATATATATATGCACGCTGTTCGCTTCACTGTCGAATTCACCACAGATATACGGTATACATGTATATAAAAAAAAAACTAATTGAAAATATAATTGTTTGAAATTATTATTTTGAATATATTTAGAAAATTATATCTGTCTAGAAAAAAATAAATTAGTTTTAAATTTGTATTGGTATAATTATTTTCACATATAGATAAGAGTAGATACTATATTACACGTTATACAGTATTAGGTTATGCTTGAAAACGCGCACAAAAATCAAAGAATGTCGCGAGTACTCTAAAAAAATTACGTTTTTCGTTAGTCTTATTATAGGTGAACTATTCAAATCGCAGTACACGCATAAATGTGTTAAATTTTTATGGTAACAGTATTATGTGCGCGTTGTTCTCCCACATATATTACATAATATTGTATTGTTGTTCATATTATCAGAAATTAAAAGATAAATACGATAGTGCATTATATATTATGAGAGATAATTAGAAAGTATGCGATAGAATTCGAGCCTTGTCTCTACCGCATTACCACCACGTGTCCGTGATGATTTCAGAAAGAAAGAAATTTAATAAATGTGACTTATGATCACACATTCGCATGTTTTCAATTGGGCTTGTATGTTTATGTGTGTATATCTGTGTACGTGTCCGTGCTTATGTATCGGTGTGTGTGTATGTGTGTGTGTCTGTGTGTAGTAAGCACGCGTGCATGTCTATATATATTTACATTTCTTTCGAATAATCTGCATGCGCGAAAACAGTGCCAACGGCATACAATGATTTGATGTATGATGAGTCGTGGGTTCAAAACCTACAGTTTTTAATTACGTTTTGTTTCTGATGGGACTGATTTATAATGTGACTGAATATAATTAATGTTTGTAGTATTTTATGCAACAGGCTTTTCAATTTGTTGGTTTTACAATTTATAAGAAATACACATAATGCATATAATATTATCTATACGAGTAATAGGTTTTATTAAACGTTGAAACCAACATAAACTTACTAATTATAGATAATAGTTTTTATTTTAGAATCTTTTTGTATTTCTACTTATGAAAACAACTGAATACTTATATATCCTGTAGGTGCGACAATTTATTTTACAGCGCAAATGGAGTAAAGTGCATAGGCAAGTTTTTCATTATTATACCACTCATTAATTATTATCATTAATTCATCCATCAAATACTAACCTCAGAAACACTTCCGTTTATAGTTATTACACAGATATTTTTTTAAATGGCAAAAAACGTATGTAAAAATTAATTATTACTTTGGTACTTTGTATATTTGTTATAATTCATCTCAAGTGACTCTTATATAAAACAGCTTATATTGCACATTAAAACGTTCATATTTAACATTTAAAAGTGATTATACACACACACTTGCACACTGATTTCCATTTAATACAATTTTTGTGATTACCTATATATTGTTTGATTAACGTCGTTCAACATTAAATAATCTAGAATTTAATTTTACGTAATTTTACATTGTCTACCATAATTCTTATAATATATATATATTGTTTTCCTTGGAGCTGTGTACAAATTGTGTTCCCAAATAAAAAATAAAATGTCGTGACAACAGAAATACGTACGCGGTTTTCTTATACCACATTCGAGTTGCGTCAACGGGTTTTCGACTACGGTCTGAATTATATCCGCAATAATAATTGTTATTTTATTTTAATTTGTTTGGCAATGGTATACTCGCAAATTAGAAATATAATTAGGTTTAAGCCCAATTATCTCGTTAATCGATATCTTATAATCCGTAAGTATAACATATGTTAACATCAGTTACATCGATATTGCGTCAGCGATCTTTTAGTAATGGAAAATCTTGATATTATTAAAATTTTCAGTAAAAAAAAATAAACATTTATATACATTATAAATATGAGCAATTTTTTTTTCCAAAACTTTATAAATAGTTTTATTCAAAGGTGGTCACAAAAAAATACAAATAACAAAAAATTCATTGGCAAGATATCTGTATAATATTATCGCTTGATAATATGACAATATTATTATCCTATGGATCACATATGATATATAAATTATTAATATGTATTTATTATTAACCTAGTAAATAATTTGAAATAATATACACAATTTTAACCACATAATATTTTATATTAATGACAGTCCTCGATCGGTAAAATTGGCAAGGAAAATATGTAATTCGAACCCGATGTTTGAGAACCTAAGGACGCAACTCGAACGTGACATTAGAAAACTACGCAAGCAACTCTAACAAAGTGTCATTTTTTGACATATTTCGAATCCCCATTTTATTGTAAAATGTATAATATTGATAGGTGACATCAATACAACTAGTACATAATAATATACTATATACTAACATATGTTACTCATAATAAAGGCGGTTATACACTAAATATTTATGCATCGAAATAACTTCCAAAGCTTATTAGAGAATTCTGGTTAAAAATGCGAGTCTGCCTCACAATTATATTATAAAATAATGACTCAAATTAGTTTTTAGTTACTCGTTAATAAATAATAGTAATACAATTCAATGAGAATGACTTTTAAAATGTATGATAAAAATTTAAGTTATTATATAATAATATTAAGATTGAACGTAATAGATTTATACCTTGTACAAAAGGAAACAAAATAATCCATGAGACGTTTTTATACATTTTCTTAAGTAAAAAACGGTGTATTACTGTGTGAAAATGAAATTAAAAAATTTAAATATTATGAATGAACACTATTTTGTGACAAACGCAGTGATCAATAATGTCAAAAAATCGGGAATCGAATATATGATAACATTAATGAAAAATGAAAAATAAGATTTTTAACTTTTGATTTTGATCAGCGTTCAAATGTCCAGAGTTATACATCGCGTATCGATGAGTTCTGGCACCTCAGAGCACACGCGTGTTTTGTCCAATGTGAATATAATTATGTTTTAATATGCGACTGTTTGATTTCGAACGATCGAACGCGGAGTTATGAAAACGCGGTCGTGCACATATAATCACCTTAAGTATTCTTATTTTATAAATTAATTAATAATGATTACTCACGTTGACGATGTTTTTGATGCAGTGTTGTTGGCTCCAGCAGCGTCATTTGCTGCCATCAGTCCCAAAGTTGCCGGAAGGTCTATGGAATAAGTCGATGCATTTCGCTTGTACTGTTGCTGTGTCTGTTGTTGGGACGATGGTGTTGATGTTACATTGTTCGTCGAAGTAATTGAACTTTGGGAGCCACTCGTTTTTATTTGATTGTGCGTCTGTTGGCTGTCTGTTGGTGACCACGAATCAACCACGTCGTCTCTCAAATCAGCGGCTGGATTGTCCATCGTTACGGACTGAGACGCTTTAATTAATAATTTAGAAACATATAGAAAACGTAGATTATACATAATACCATACATAATAATTAAGGAATGTCTAAAAATAAATTAAAACTAAGTGAACCCACCTATAAATTTACCAAAATATATACGAAAAAAAAAAACCAAGGACCAACAAAATTACAAAGTTACTGGCAAAAAGCTCTTGATAACAATAAAATCAAATAATGACGCACTTTGATAAATATACTATAAAAGATAGGTACACACATTGAATATGACGAGCCCTATCTCGGTGAATGGAAACTTCTTTGCGTCAATTAATTGTTTAAATTTATGAATTATTACACTAAATTGTTGTAACACTTTAAAAACATATTTAAAGTGCTTTAACATTTAAACATTTAAATATAACTATCTATTCTACTAAATTAATTAATAAATCTTAATCTATAAGCATAACAAATAAAGTAATGCTTTGATGAGCGTAGATGCGTGTGCTGAACAACCGTTTTGCGATTGATGTGGATAGTACCGGTGACGAATGTATTACTCAAAATTTGTATAATAAATCATATTATGTAGAATTTACGGTTAATTTGGGACCCAAAATCTTTTTCGAATGGTTCAGGATGGCTTGCTATTGTTAGTTGGCACTTTGTAATAAAAATTTCCTTGATTCCGATTTGACTGAGATACGAGATGAAAATCGCCAACTACGTTGTTGTCAGAGCCACCGGTACTATCCGTTTTAGAACTGCTGCTATTAGTGTTCCTCCTTCTTCACAACGGCACTGTTAGTACCGTTGTTTGATCTAGTATCAGAATTCAACAAAGCCAACAAGTGCTTATTATTTCTGTGAAGAGTTGGCGCTATGCTATACATAATAGCAGATCTGGACACAGGTGTTTCAACACAAGTGATAGTTGAGCTGACGACAGAAGTTTCAGCGTTTGTGACAGACGTAAAACCGTTATCAGACGTTTCAAGTGTTTCAATGCTAGAGGCATTAGAGTCAGAACATGAGAGGTCAGTATCAGAAATCGGTGCCTTGATTGCAGGTAAATTTAATAACGACCTTTGGCCAGAGTCCGGCATCTGGCTAGCCAATTGTATTTTATTAGGAGTAGTAGCTCTATTGTATGATTTAATAAAACAGAATTTTTTCGCACTATATGTTCTGAAGGTTGGAGTTTGACTCCTATTAAATATAGGATTTTTTGTCACTATTACTTATTTTTATCTGGTCTCTGTATTCCAAAGAACTTTGTTGGACAGTGTAACTTTTACCTTCTAATTTTATTTTTTTAAAAGAATGGCTTGGATTAGTATCCTTCGCTGTACCAATAGACAATGCTGCTGAACTTCCCTGTTCTTGTTCGATTACACTGCTGTTGACGCCATTATTATCGGCATTATTATTCTCAGATTTTACCATTTGATCATTAATTTTGACAGTCAATTCTATATTTAACGAGGTATCATTAACAACAATAGGTAAGTTAAATGTATAGGGCGTGGTGGTGGTGGTGGTGGTGGTGGTGGTGGTGTTGATGGAGATGGTGGTCGTAGGACTGCTGGTCACAGTGGTGGTGGTCACGGCATCCAAGGTCACACTGCTGATCGGCTTGACGATTGGCACAA